TCCTGCCTGGGTTATTTTTCATTGTTTTCTCATAGAATGGGTTAATGTCCTTACATTTGTAAGAGGTACAATTTTGAAGACCTTAAACTGGATATGTATTTTTTTTTGGTAATTTAAGTGGTTAGAGAAAGGCTCTGAGGCAGGAATATAAATTCATATGAGGCTATATACAGCCTTCTTTTGATGGCCCATATTCCTGTCTCTTTTCTTCAATTTTGTTAAATATCCTGTACAAAGTTTCCTTTGTATTCATGTGAGGTTTATTCTACCTGTGAATGCGTGTGGGATGCCACTGTGCTACATACTATTCTCTACCAATTAGTGAGTAGCATTAAGAAATGACAAGCTCCTAAGGGTTCCTCCCATCTCCACTGGGATCTTGTAAGTCACTGACCCTAGGGGTTGCTAATCTTGAGATATTTTCCCTTTTTTTATTTCAAGTTGCCTACTTAATAGTTTGACCTGTTTCTCTACAGACTCTAAAATATTAATAAAAATTAAAAATTGTTTTGAGTTTCTTTTCAGCAATATTGATGAGGAAAAGAGAGTTTGTGCATGAATAATAAAAAGAGCCATGTCGAATCCCTTACTATTTTTGTTATTGGACGGAGTTTATGCCTCAACTTTGTTTTTCTGTTTGTTTTTTGTTTGTCTGTTTTCCTGTTGATGGGTTTTTGTGATATTTTTGACTGGTTAGTAACCAGTTTGTACAATTGAATTATATTCTAGAGAAGGAGGTTTTAAGCTTAAGCTCCACTTAAATTTTATTCAAAAGTCCAACCAATGTAATTTCTGACCTAAAGAACTAAAGACTATGCCAATTTTGTTCAACTTAAGGACTATATCAACTTTAGCCAGAATAATACCTAAATATTAATTTAGATGTTATAATAAGCTCACTGGCTCTAAAAATGTATGCATGGACAATATCATTAGTATTTTATCTACAATATTAAAAAACTACCAAATCTAGTATTTAGCTGATTATTACTTTACAGAAGGATACAAGGAAACTGAAAATGCACAAACTAAAAATGCCTTAAATTAGTAATA